TTTTGAACACTACCTGCAATTCATTTTCTACAACTTTTGCACCATTTTATTTTTGGACTATGAAGCAGCATCTCTCCCATGTGTCATTTGTGTATTTTTTGTTTAGTGCCCGATGAGCTGGAAAACCAGCAAAACTTAAGTCGCACACCTAAACATAGATATTTGTATATGTACCTTTTTATTAATATATATCTTTACTCTGTCTAACCACATTGAGCACTATTATGTTTACACCTCTTGGCTAAATTTGATTATTTATTTGCTTGCCTGTGTATACATGCCAACACACGCATATATGGTTACTTATATCTGGTCATTTGATTTACCTAATTGTGTGTGTGTGTGTGTGTGATTAGTATAAAAAATATTTACCTAATACAGGGTTGAGAGCCACTGAAGGTAGAGGATTAGTTAAAATATTAATGATGAATGAGTTGGTTGATATGAATGAAAGAGGAGATGGTAGAATGGGAAGATTATGAGTATAAGAAAATAGGTAAAAACTGTCTGAACACATGAAGAGGTTAGAATTGTAGCTTTTAGAGTCTTTTCCACAAAATCTTGGTTCTTGTGGAGGAGAGAGAGAGCTCTCTAAGTGGAACTTTCTTCTGACATTTGGAACACAGAGAAAATGAATAGGATTTGACTTAGTGGACACAGCATGGCATGACCTTGCTGTAAAGGCCTGAACTGGCAGGAGAAAAGAAACGATCTTATCTAAACATTTACCATGGAAATAGTTAGAATTATCATCAGTAGGCAGAGTTGAAATTGGTATGCTTCAGTACTTGCCATTGTACCAAATTGTCATCTTTCTTTTTTTTTAATACATGACTGCTAAATCACAACTTTGATTTTATGGATAGCAGGCTAATTCTTTACAACTAGAGATTTTGGGTAGGTTTTAATAAGAAGTCTAAAAACTACATGTACATATAGCTCAAAGACAAAAATTGCCCAGTCCCTATGACTACTGTCAGGCTAGAATCAATATCATACCAATTCCACCTCTTTTAGTACATTGAGAAAAAAAAGATAACGATTGACACTGAATTTAAATTTTTGAAGATGAACATTGACTGGGAAGCCAAAAGCCAGAAGTGTTCCACAAGCGAGAAGTGCAATAGAAGAAAATGTTAGCATAGAACTTATATCTAGCCATTTCAATTGTAAAATGGTGAGACCTTGCTGCCAATCTAGTACTGCACTGAAATTCATAAATCCTAGGATACTAAAAAGGAATGTTCATCATAACAATTACCATGAATATATTTATAGAAAACACACGGGGAAGCTACATTACAGCGGTGGGGAAGTGACTGAAACCAAGATGGCAGGTCAGGGCTAATGACATTGCACATTTTTCTTTGGATTTTATCAAAACTCTCCAAATACATAACCAAAGCCCCAGGCCAGATGTGGTGTCAAAATTCAAAGCAAAGATGAATGATAGACTTATAAACGTGTAACATGGATTCTGGCAAGAAACTTGGTCTAGCACGATACAATGAACCAACTTTCCTTGCAATTAATAATCTGGGCAAAATTTCAAGCAAACATTTGAAATTGTTGCAATTGTCAGCTTAATTACCCAGGCAGACACAGGTGGTGTTAATTTTAATAATAGTTTAATATGTTTACAATGGCTGATGATGCCCTAAAGCAGTGATAAGACATAAATATGCTTAATTGTAAGTTTTTGCTCTTTACTTTGGAAACAGAAGTGATTAACTTTCTTATGAACGTCAACAGAATTACCTGTAATGTTTCTTTTACCTGTGTTTCATTCAAATTTCATTTGATTATTTTTTTTTCCTTTTCCAATTAACACATATTGATTTACAAGGTATTTTAAGGTAGGATGAAGTGGTTAACTGTTGGGTAAAGTGTATTCTAATATAAAATAATAGCTGGCCACTCGTATTTGAGGATAACTGTCTGCCGGGGCAGCCAGTCAATCCTTATTGCAGATGCTCACTCAGGCACATTTGTATTTGCTCAACACCCACAGAGCCCACCTGTGGTTTATACTGCAACTATGCTGAGCAGACCTTAGTTACAGTTTCTGGGAGAGAGTGTGATCAACAATTTGAACAAGGCCAGTGCACTCAAGCCCTTGGCCAGGATGACTTGCAGCTTCATGTTAGAACAGCTATTGATGGGGGCCTCCAAAAGTTCCGTCTACCCAATTTCACTCACAAGGCTCGAGTCAATACATGTTATGGTTTTCAGGCACTTTCCAAAAGGTGCCACACACTGGGATCAACTTTAATCCAGTCCAATAACATCAGGAAGTTTCCTTCCTGACAAATCGACCGTGGTGAGATTCAAACCCGGGTCCCATGGTCAGAAAACAAATGTTCTAACCACTAGGCCATGTGCCCATTCTGATAGACCCATCATTAATCCAGCATAAATCACTTACCTGGCTCCATAAAGGCCCAATTGTACCAAATTAGTGATGGACAGTCTGTATTTTGAAAGACTAGACATTACCATCTTTGGGATTTTAAGTCCAAGTAATAAAAAGTGTCAAACTGATAGAACCACAAGACCTAAAAAAAAAATAAGATTGTTTCTCTTTGTATATGAACTATATACATGAGGAATGCCATGATTCAGATCAGTTGAACCATTGTAGGAATAACAATGACAACAGTATAAAAGTAATCACACCAAGGAACTATTGGAATTGTAATATACAACAGTTGAAAATATCCTAAGCTCATTAGAAGAACAAATTCAAACAAGTTATGTAAGACAGCATAAAGATGTTGAAAAAGATCTAACCATTATGAAATTTGTTCATTTTAATAGTAATGGAAAAATGAAATTTTAATCTGAGAATCTTTTTTTTTTATTTATATATATATATATATATATATATATATATATATATATATATATATATATATTTAGTTTTTCTGGCTTTTGTGCCTTTTATTTTATTTTTTATTTTTTTAGGGGGGGGCTTTGAGTTTAGGGTGTATTTATAGTAGTAAGACAAGGCTTAAATGGATTTAACAACCAAGAATAGTTATAGAACACTCAATAAAAATAATTATGATAATAACAAAAGCAATAAAGATTTAGATCAGTAAATCAAACCACTCTTTATTAAAAATTATTAAGAATATTATTTCTGCTGTATTTCCCTGCATTTGCTTGCAAGTTACCCTCCTCATTAACAAACTTGTTTTATTATTTTTATTTCTGTGTGTTTGATTGCATGACTGAGTGTTTTTGTTATTACAATTTTTTTGTCTTCTTTCTTAACAGGTTTCACCTTATCTGCATAACAAAGATAAGAGGATCTCTTTTCTCTCCGTCTCACTCAACTCACAAATCACCTGCCTTTTCTTTACTTTTTTTTTTCCTTTCCATCTTGCTATAGCCTTAACATAACCATTTTTAACACTTGCCTTACTTAGTGTCTTGTGCTGACCTATATAATTTCAATATTTTTTTCCATTTTGAATAAACCTTTCATTGTTGTGGATGCCAACCAAAATCTTTTTATTTGGATTGCTCACTTTCTTTGTCAAATTGTTTTCCATCTCTTTAAATAAAATTCAATATTTCCATTGGAATAAGAAACAATTTTATTAAGACCTTTGTTTTCAAGGTCCCCATCATTGCATTGTTAAAGGAAAATTTTAGACCTTGATTATTTTTTTTTTTTTTTTTTTTTAATGAATTTATTTTACACCAATCATAATGCATTATGAAGAATTTATATCTACCACTGCCACATTTTACTACAAGTTGTGACATAGTTTTAACCATGTATCCAAAATGGGAATTTAAGATTTGGATAAATATCTAATGCTTATGTAAAGCCAACCATTTTTTTCTTTAATTTTTCTTTTAATTTAAATTAGTTAATTTAAAAAGAAAACTGTCCAAAATAAATTAATCTTATTTGGAATATACTTTTCCTTTAGTTCTTTAAATTATATTGATAGGTTTACAACTTAAAAGTATTTTACATTGAATATTTTTCAAAAGAACATCTAGTGTCTTAAAAGAAATATGGTTACTTTACAAGGGAGTAACAAGTTCAATACTAATTGTGGATCTCACAATAATGGCTTCCAGCAAAAATAGACTAAGCTTAGAGAATGATTATTATAAAATTTTTAAATGTAGGTTATTTAAAGTGAAAAAGAAATTATAAGGCATGTCATGATGGCAAAGTATTTGAAACACTATCTAAAATGTATATAAAAGATTTTGTGATGTGCAGTTTTAAAAATATATATTGACTATACATACTTAAGTATTTAAGACAGATATTGAAAACTCATTGATTTAACTTGGATTTTTTTTCTTCCAATTTTTGTATTCTAAGGCTGTTTTCTTTTAATAATTTCTGACATTTTAAAAAAATACACTGATAATGAAATAACCTAAGGAAGGCCACTCAAAATAAAAATAAAAAAATTAAAATTTAGTTACTTAAGAATAGTATACCAGCAAAATACTTAAATCATTTAAATGAACCATATATAAATTTTTACATATCTTTACAGTGCATACGAACCAGGGATCATTTCATCCTTCAAAAAAAACCCATGAAATATAACTTAATTAATAAGTCTAACACTTCTGTTGAATGATTTGATCATATTTACCCTCTACAAATTATCTGAGGATTTTGATCAGAGGACATATTTAATATTGTGCTTAATTGGAAAGTTGATCCCACCAAAGACTGTGAAATGTTAACCATTAAACAAAAACTTCAAAGTTGATCCTAGATTTCATTCTTGGGATAAGCCAGTGAACAAAATTGCCAACTTGATTCAACTGGGCTGAAATTAAAAGGAAAAGAATAAAGGAAAGGTCAATATCCCTAAATCCCTTTCCCTAAAAGAGAAAAAAAGGATTCCTCTCTAGACCTCTGGCATTATTTCTGCAACCAATCAGAGATGTCTGCATATAATTCCTGTTCTACATATGCCACTCTTCTTCAAACCCCACTCCAAAACAACAAACTTATGGCTCCCTCCTCTGTCATGCCTCTATCCTTTTCACTGCCGTCTCATACAAATCGACCACTGCCACCCACAGATCAACCACTGCTGGCCACAAATCAACCACCACCACCACCTTCTATACCACAGTCCCTACCCATCACAAATACCAACAACAGTGTTTTTGATTGGAGCTGTCCCATAAAGAAGGATGGGGCCATTGCTTGGACCAACTGTGTAAGGCAGTCGATAACTAAATTGGAGACTTGTAAATTCAGCAATGTTCGTATGACTATAGGTAGGTGAAGTAGACATCTTAGCCTCACAATTTGCACTTTGGGCATTTGTCGTCTTGTTTTTTTTTTGTTTGTTTTTTTTTTTTTAACCAGGTGGGATAAAGCCAGGATGCACAAGGGGACAGTAGGTATTTGTTTGCACTTTTAGTAAAAAGGAGGGAAAAAATTATAGTGTTTCTCACAGACACTGTCAATAACTGCCTCATACTTTTATATTTTCAATGTGTTGCACCAACTGCATTTTGCTTTATGAAGTTTAACGGAGTACTAAATTATTTAATAAGATACAAAAGCTTTATATATTAGGTTGTATGTCAATTATCACACAATGAAGAAGAAAGCCTCACTCACAGTAGCTTGCAAAACTAATACATTAACACTCACTTGATGGTTTAATTGTAGTTTTTTTTTTGTTTTTTTTAAGTTATTTATTGATTGCTATGATGTAAGTCTATATAAACCTTGTACTTTTATAAATTTTAAATGATGTTGAATTTTTTCATTTTTTTTTCTCTTTTTATTGGTTGTAATGCAAAAAATCCTTTTTGTTTTTAAACTCAAATAATTTTTAAATTTATTATATAAGTTCCTTGCATTGTATCCCATTTAAGTAAATTGTATTTCCTCATAAAAGAACATTTCTCATTTTTGTTTTCATTCATTGACTAGATTGAAAATTTCATGGATAAAATGGTTATATACTGTGTGTGTGTGTGTATATATATATATATATATATATATATATATATATATATATATAGATACACCTAGTGAGCCAGACAAACCTACCTTTAGGTTTCACCTAAATGGATCGTCAGGAAAGTTTGGCCAAACTTTCCCTGACGATCCGCTTAGGTGAAACCTAGGTAGGTTTGTCTGGCTCACTAGGTGTATCTAGGTCTGCTCTACGGTTGTATTGAGCTCTTTTTTGTTAGTTAGTTGTTACTCGTATCGGGGTTTTTTCTTTGGGCTTCAGACCTGCATCTGTGCGATTTTTTGTCGGCAGAAGTCCATGTTTGTAGCTCTTTCTTTTTAAAACCTTTTTTTTCCTCGAGATTGATTTGATTAGCAAATCAAAAAGTTGAGGGTTTTTCGAAACGAGTCTAGTTATCTATATATATATATATATATATATATATATATATAACCCAGCAGAAGGATTGAACTCAAAACCTCCAGTTTATCAAGAACTAGAAACCACTTGTTTGTTATTATTAGCCTTACCTGTGATATCTGCTGATTGAAATGACTTCAGCTTATTGTGCTCAGTAAGTTAACAAATCAAGCAAACAATAATTGACAAATTTTTGGTCCTTCCTGTAGCTCATGATGGATTCATATCCTACCAAATACAAAGCAAGGACTTCTGTAGATACAGTCCTGATCTTGGTACTGTCACTTGTTACTCATCTTATAATGATCAGTCTTTTTTGCTTTCTGTTGACATACAAAACTCATTTTTCATCACCTTTGACATTTTCAGTTTAAAGGCTGCTGTAGATGATGGGTGATTGTGTTTGTTTGTCATATACCAACCTAAGAACTAGAATTAACAAACTTGTCAAAAAAAAAAAATATAGCAAGAATACTGGAATAATATATGCACAAAAAGCACTTCAGTGTGAGATCTATTCTAGAAAAGTGAAAACAATAACTCACTTTGCCCTTGCCATGCATTGACTATTAAAAAAAAAAATCTCACTTTGACAAACATGGACTTTTGTGCCCACAAAAAACAGTGCTGAAAGTATGATTTTTCTCATGGAACTGTTTTATTTTTACTACCTTCACTCTTCAGCAATGTTTATTGTTTTAAAAAGTGATGATTAGAATTGTAACAAAACCTAAACACATGATTTTTTTTTTTTTTGTTTGTGAGAATTTACAACAAAAATATTAAACACTATCTATTTATTAGATTTTTTATTTACAAGAATAATTTTATGTTTACAACATTCTAAAAACCAACACAATTAAAACTATTGCAATGCAATATTTATCATTTACCAATTTATAAAGAAATAAACGTGAAAACAATTATTTAGTTATAAATTTATATAAAATTTACTAAATTGTATGAACCATAAAGTAAATCTTTATTTACCATTTTTATAAAGTTGAAATCAATTGGCTTTTTGCCAATGTTTTGCCAACAATAAACAGCGTAATAAATAGGTTAAATAAACTATCTAATAAATAATGTTTATTATTTTTGTTCTCAAGAAAAAAGCAAGCATATAAATTCACTTTCATTTGTTTAGGCTTTAAAATTCTAATCATTGCTTTTTAAAACAATAAACATTGCCAAAGAGTGAAGATAGATAAAATAAAAGCGGTATCATGGGAAATATGATTTTTTTTTTTTTTTTTTTTTTTGGTAGGCACAAAGGTGCATGTTTATCCACAGATTTTTATGCACAGACAGAAGGAGTGTCTAGAATGTGCAACACATCAGGCTGTATATATGGTGAAACACATCAATCTGGCCATCTTGCTTTCCCAAGATGGCCATCTTTTTCTCTTTAATTAAATAAGCAGCATGAGAAACTTCCTCAAAAACAGTCACTGTTGAACAATTATCATCCATAAAAGGTAATGGGCTTATATAGGTACCTCCACAAAAACTGTAATTTTTATGGAGGTAAGTCCATAAGATTTAAATCTTTATAAATTTTTATAATTAAATTTTTTTTTTTTAAATATGAAAACAATCATAAAAATTCATTATTCATCAGAAAAATTTTTTTTCTTAAGACAATAGTGTCCTTAATATATCTTATTTTATGATTTTGAGCAGATTTTTGGTAAAAAAAAAAAATGATTTATATCTTATCAGAAATACATTTTTGAAAACAAAAAAAAATTACCAGCAATAAAAAAAATTATCAGCATTAAATAACTCATTGAGGTTAATATGCCATAAACCAAACCATCAAATCTCTTCTTGATTGATTGGCTGATCTTAGCAGCATATCAACCTCTATGGGTTAATGTCAAAATCTAAATATTTGGAATACAATCTTATGACCTCAACTAGAGATAAAATGTCTTGTTGGTAATTCTGCCATAAACAGGTCTTGTTGGTAATTCTGCCGTAAACAGGTCTTGTTGGTAATTCTGCCATAAACAGGTCTTGTTGGTAATTCTTTCTCGTATATAAACATTTGTTGCTGGTATATACTTTTATAGTCTTGTTTTAGTTTGTGAGTTCACTATTTGCCCATAACTGGGACCCTAACAGGTATTACCACCCTCTGTCAGGGTGGTCCTGGGAACAACAGCTATTAAGAGCTAATTCTATGCTCCTCAAAACCTCCAATCTCCCAATCAAAGGCCTTACTGCCAGATGTAGTTTATTGTCATACCCAGGACTCTCTTCATCTGTGAGGGAATTATCCAGCATTCATGCTGTATAGAAGGACTGATGTTTCATAACAACACTTTTTTTTTCTTTTTTGCTATTTCAATACATCTTTGGATTTCTTTGCCACATTTTCTATCAATTATATTTTCCCCCTTTACTGACAACATACCTACATTGAATTGTATACTGGTCTGGAATATGCATCTCTTGTTAGGTACTTGCAATCTGCTTCATTCATATGGAGAAGTCCTCTTTCATTTAGAATGCTCACCTTCATTTTTTTTTTTTTTTAATTTTTGAAGAATATATCACATAATCTTCTTAATATTTTTTTTTATTATTATTCAAGAAAGGAATGAATTTTACTTACAAAATATAGTATTTTACATGTAGACTCTCTAGTATTACATTTGACACTGTACTTGGCCTATCAGTAATCTTTATTTTATTTACCATTCTTGAACATATATTTTTGCTATAGACTCACTTGATTCTTGCTCATTAATATATCTGTGTGCCAAATTATAATACAACTGAGAAAATATATAAGAATTACCAGAATTTCATGTATTTTTTAGGTTAGCAAAATCTCTGAGGGAAAATGCTCGATAGATAACTGGAGCTATAATATTGAATAAATTAAGAAAAGGTCAAGTGACTTATCCACTTACCTGACTCAAGGTTTAAATTTTATATATTATGAATTATATAATATTTATAAATTTGCAGTAATAACCAGTGGTGTCTTCATGGTGTTATTGCCTTCCTTGGGTCAAAATGATCAATATTACTATTGACTTGGTTGCTGTAATGTATTGAAGTATTTATTATGACCATTGAATATGTGCCATCAAAGTGTTGCACTTTTCTTTGCTGGTATTTAATGCCTTTTTATATTATTTACACAAAATTTGATGATATATATATATATATATATATATATATATATATATATATATATATATATATCCTTTAAAAAATCAGGAGGTCAGTTGAATCTGCTACATTGGTTTCAGCCTTGCAGTATCCTCAGGTGATTTTTATCAAATGACCTCTTATTGCTTTATTAAGAAATTCCTCCTAAGCACATATGAGGCTGGATAGAAAAAAAAATGTACATTTCATGTTACCTCCCAACAATACATTTATAATAAACTTGCTTTCCTTCTCTTCCCCCTTCTTCTTCTCCTTCCTCCTTCTACCTCCCTTTCTATTACACCTAATGTCATGCATTTGTTTATTTTTTTTTTTTTAAATAAAGCTTTAAGAGGTTATTTGATAAAAATCGCCTAAGGATACCGTAAGGTTGAAACCAAGGTAGCAGATTCAACTGACCTTCTGATTTTTAGTTAAAAGCTCTACATGTTATTTTTACTTTTATTTTATTTTTTCACACATGTAATGAGCACTTTTTAATATGACTGTTTCCTGGTTTGATTCAACTCTAACCATTAACCTTACATATATATATATATATATATATATATATAACTGGTTCTAAATTTAAACTTTGTAATGATTCTAATAAAACTCTAGCATGCAAATTTCAAATTGTTTGTTCAGAAAGAGTATAAATATGGGATCTGATAATAAGTTCAATAGATTTCTATAAAATCTGGCACTGATAAGCATTTCATTTTGAAACTCTTTAGTTGGCTAACTAGATAAGTCATTTGAATGTTTCTGAATTCATTGATTCATTGTATATGTAATATATGTATGTGTAATGTGTTTGTTATTGGTCCTCACCTGACTTCTCAATTTCAGTCACTTACTCACCACCAAGACATAGCTTCTGTTTCTTTTCCTATAAATATTTTCATGGCAACTGTTCTAATGAGCCCTGTACCTTGACTGCATGAATTTAAGAATACTACTAGATTAGCAACTAAGTCTCATCATTTTACTATTAAAATAACTAAGATGTAACTATTCTAATACTCTCCTCTCTTGCACGTCTCACCTCTGGTACTCTATTCCAATATCTTGCTTCCCTGTCAACTACAAACTTCAACCATTTGAATGCAACACCAATTGCCATTTTCTGTTCTTTTATTGTCCTTTCTCCTCACTAAAGTCTTTTCATTCTCTTTCACTCTCATTAACCCATGGTGTCTTTATAGTATCATTGTTTTGCTTTTTCTGTCATGTGTTGACATATTCATTGTAACCCTGGGATATGTGTCATCAAAGTGCTTGTGTTGAACTTTTTCTTCTTTCTACTGGTACATAATGCCTTCTTACATTATTTACACTCAGACCAATATCCTCATCTTTGTTTTTACACATTAGGTTTAAGGCTCCAAGTTTTAGACTCGGGATTGTAGCATAGCCTAATGGATTAAAGTATTGGTTTGCAAATTAGGTGGCATAGTAATTGTGAGTTCAATCCCTGGGGTGAGTAGTACAAATTCATTGGAAGCAGCACTGAAAAAAAAGACCTGGAGAGTGGAACATGAATTATCTAGATTAAATCCCTGAAAATAACCCGGATCAACAGACACCTGAAGAATGCATTGAAAATCAGAAAGGGGTTGCCAATGATCAGTTTGTACCTAAAACATTACTTGTATAATTAGCCTAATGCAAAAGTATAGCTAATGATTTTATCATAGAAATCTATTGAAAATCAGAAAGAAAGGAATTGTCAGTGATCAGGTTTTAATTTTTTGGAAGGTTGAGGTCATGAGCATTTGACCTTTGTTCAAATATTCAGCACATCTACAAAGGAAAAGAGAAAAGTAGATAAAGTACAAATAGGTAATTTTATATTCCAGAATAGTTCAGGTGTTTTATGGAATTTTTTCTATCAAATTTCTTTTTAAAGACAATTTTCATGTGACCAGAAATTGAGGAGACAATGTAAGATATTTTTTCACGACTTGACTATTTCATTTCTATTTATACTATAAGCACAGATTGAGGTGTAGACACCAGGATCTGTGCAAATATTTAACAGGTTCTATTTGAAAATGTGTTTATTGAAGATTATAATTTCTAATAACTTTAAATGCATTAAAAACTGAAACTTTGCAGATTAATAATTTGATATGTTTTAAATGCTGTGCAAATTTCATATTTTCCTGTAAATTATAAATTAAATTTTAAGTTTGTATCCATTCAGTGGGGATACTTTATTTTATTAATAATTTTCAATAAAAAGGTTGTTTTTTTTTTTTTTTTTTATTTTGTCTGAAACTTAATAGAATAAATTTTAATGTGTGCACTATGAGTTTAATCTGTATATATAGATTTGAAAGCTTTACAAATTCAAGCATTACTGTCATAATTGGGTTTTATTTATATATATATATATATATATATATATATATATATATAGCTAATGTTTTATTATAGAAATGTATTGAAAATTAGGAAGAAAGGAATTTCTATGAGTTAGGAATGCAAGCATTACTGATAGAATAGGGCTATTATATACCTATTAGAGAGGTATAGTGGAGTAATGGACAGCAGCTCAGATTAAGAAATTAGTGGGCCAAATTTGATTTAGTCAAATTCATTACATTCACTTATGGGAAAGGTATGAATCGGCCTCTTCTCTCCCCTTCTTTCTGGGTCTTATAGTTTTGGGTGACAACCAATCTTGGATAAAGGCAACTCTGAATTCAAAAACTCCAACTATGGGTAAATAGTAGGGCAGACTGGGCTCTTCAGCCTTGGATGGCAATGAGTCTAGAAGGTCAAGTCTGAATTCAGAAAGTGTATGTAGCCCTGATTTGGGAGTTTACAATGACTGTAGGATCCTGTGCGTGTATGTATATATATATATATATATATATATATATATATATATACAAGGTGTGGAGGATAAATTGTCGTTTAAATTATGCAAAAATAAAAATAACACTGATATCTCATTTTAACAGATATATTTACCAAAATTACAGAAAAATATCTTAAAATACTAAAGAGTAAATTTATTCAAGAAAATTGCCACTGCTTCCAGATGACATTGGAATCCCCTGCAACTTTTTGGATGGTTCCTTTAAGTTGGTGAATGCTATATATATATATATATATATATATGTGTGTGTGTGTAGGCAGTCAACTAAAAAAAAATATATATATATATGTAAATGCATTGCTAATGATTTTACTACTATATGATTGCATTGAAACTTTTAAGAAAGGGTTTGTCAGTGGTCAGGAACTAATGCTAGAGTTACTCAGATGAACTTATTATTTAAAGAATTTGTTGCAAATGTTTCTTTTATCACTGCTTTTCTTTGTCTTATTTTTTTTATTGTCTTTCTTTTCATTGCAGGAAGCCAGAAATATTCTGACAAAGGCAGTGATGATGAACAAAGCAACCTGTCAGCATTTCTGGGGCCAAATTTATGGGAGAAATCATGTGGCACAGATTTCAAGCTGGAGTACATGGACTTGGATGAGTTCCTGGTGGAGAATGGCATCCCAACCGACCCAATATCTGACAGCCTGGAAAACGAACCTGATCAATCCTCCGTAACTTCGCTGGATCTCAAAAGCAACCTTATTACCGCTTCACCTACTTCATCAGTTGGTAAGTAAAAAAATGACTTTGTTAAATTGGATTTTTTAAAAATTTCTAAGACATCTTTTATAAATTCATATAAGGGTAAATTTTCTGTGTTTCCCCCCACACACACACACCACCACACAACACATTAGATCAAAAGAACCCACTTTATCAACACATTTTGATATCACCTTTTACATACATACATACACACACACACACATATATATAATGTGTGTGATATCACCTTTTACATACATACACACACATTTTTTTATATATATATATATATATATATATATATATATATATATATATATATATATAATGTGTGATGAATTACTTAATCATGATTATTTCGAATCCTCCTGATTATTTATATCTGCATATCCTTGCTTGAACCGCTTCTAATGCTCTGGACTGAGCGGCTTGGGATTAGTAGTCGTAGCTCATGGGGCCACAGTCCTATGGGTAAAGAGAAACTCAGATGAGTTCCACCACGGAATTTGTGATTGAGCGGCACTATATCGAGTTTAATTCATTACCACTTTGTCACCAAGAACCATTGGTACAGTTGGTATGGCGTTTACCTCCTATCGTAACTGTTCAAGTCTCAATTCTCAGTAGTGGATACGCACTGCTGATGAGTCCCAAATATAGGACGAAATGGCCGTCTAGTGCTTTCTGCATTCTGTTGAGGTTTCTTCTAAACTTGATGAATTAATTATGATTATTTCAAATCCTCCTAATTGTTTATATATATATATATATATATATATATATATATAAAAAATAGTGAATACCATTTCATGCTTGAATGCAATCTTCAGGCCTGAAGAATGCACTCAAGCATGAAACCTTGTTGCTGCTTTGTGTTGATCTCAATGTTCACTTTTATATTTACATATGCTCTCTCTGATACTGAGTACATTTACACATTATAGCATACCTTAAAACTATATTTTATCACATATATATATATACATATATATATATATGGCTCATAAAATATTCCAAAGCTGTCCTTCCTGACAAACCCAACAAATCAAAAAATATATTATTCTACCCACTAACTCTATCACAACTACAACCAAAAAGAATGTATCTAAACTCTACATAAAATTTGTTACAACTACATGTAAAACAAAACAATCAGCCAAAATTTGAAGGAGGAATTTACTCTATTAAATGCAGGAATTGCCAGAATGAATACATTGGAGAAACATCAAGAGACTATATGGACACAAGAGACATTTTAAATAACAAAATGTATTAGTTGTTCACCATAACAAAACAAACCAGAATTTTGACATAGGGAATGCTACTTTGATTAAAAGAGAAAATAATTCACTGAAACGAAAATGTCTGGAAATGCCTTAATCATTACTTCAGCTACAATAAATTTGTGTCCGGGCTCTTATCAATATTCTTCGTAGATTTTATATTGTCACAGTGTGGGATAATCGGGGACAAAGGTGATAAAAAGAATATAGATGATTTCAGCTTCATTAAGAAAAAAACTATTCTTTCAAAGATTTTGCAACTACCTGCATTTCTCATTTCATAGACATCGCAATGTCAATAAAGCCCAGTTCAATGAAATCCTAATGTATGAAACCCGTTACAAAAAAAAAATCTTTCCGGTTTGTCATATTTTTCTTTGTGTGTGTGTATATATATATATATATATATATATATATATATATATATATATATATATATATATATATATATTTGTTTGAAAAAAAAACGTGATCTAGGGTTCTAAAAAAAAAAAATACTTTTTATGTAGACATAAAGTAAATTTCTTAAAAAAATTGATGCCTTCTTGAAAATTAAATTTTAGAGAGGTAAGAAAACTTTTATTACAAGTTAGTGTTTGCTAGCTGTAGGACAGGTTTTTGGTTGGTTATGTAAAAACAGTTTCTTCAAAATTAATTCTAAAAAAAACAAGTTTCTTTACATGTAAAGAAATACAGGGCTGTCGCACAGACAATTTTTGGGGGGTGGGGGGCAAAAAATTTAGAATTTAGCCTTAATTTATCAAATGCCACCAACATGGTTGAAATTTCCAGTACCTCCTTGCTTTGATAGTTTTTCTTTTTTGTATTTCTTACTTTGTGTTAAAATAAAACCCTGTATAAAAAAAAAAAAAAAAATACTGCAATTGTTAAAAATTTGTGGGGAGCTAATGCACCCCCACCACAGGCTGCTAAGGACCTGAAACAACAGATATTTTAAATAAAAGTTAAAACAAATGAAACTGAACTCAAATCAGGGAACCAAATTACATATAAAACTTAAGACCTGATTAGACGATAAAACAATGGAATATTGCTGTACATAATTGACTTTGAGGAAGAATAAACTCGTAACCTTCCATCATTACCAAGTAGACCCTGAATTTTCTCCAGGCATGATGAATTTTCTCCAGGCACTTTTACTCCCAATGAGGCTCTCCACTTTGAATTTCTATTTGGATTCAAGTTTACCCCATTTCTCAAGTAGGCTTACAATCACATCATGTTGAAATACAGGATCCTGTATGATCACCAAAGTTAAGCAGTGTCAAGCCTGGTCAATACCTAGATGGGTGATTGCTTGGGAATATCAGGTGCTTGTAAGCTTGGATATGCAGGTGGTATAATGAATAATGGCTCAGAATTCTTAATCAGAGAGCTGAGTTCCAATTCCCATTGGGTTCATTATATTCACTTACATACAAATACCGTTGGGATATGGATCCACCTCTTCTCCCCCTAGCTACTGGTTAATTAGTAATACTTGTATCACTAAACCAATATCTCCAAAAAAAAGAAATTTATTACAATATAAAAATATTTTCTAGATTTAAATAGCCTGCAAAGGGTTGATAAGCTGTAAAAAAAAAAAAAAAAAAAAATGAATCCATCAATCAAAGCAATGGGGTTTGGGAATTGGAGATTGAGAGAAAAAGATATGGTGAAAAAGTAAATAAGAACCAGATATACAATTTTTTTTTTCCACAATATAAAATTTCAAACAATGTGCATACTTTCAAAAGAAAAAATATTTGCTACCAAAGTTGTAATTCTCCAGTTTAGTGTGACGTCGTCCCCTGGTCGCAGCACCAACTGTGACATTCTATTCTGGTCTACCACGGCACCAACTGTGACGTCCCTAAACAGCACCAATTGTGACGTCCTCGCCGCGGCACCAGCTGTTCGCTCCTCGCTGCTCCGTTCGGGTGTCGCTGCTCCAAACGTGACATCCGCCTGTCATGTCAGTCATGTTGTCTCGTCCTGTGATGACCAACTGGCTTGGTATCGGTCGCGGCACCCAAATGTGATTCGGGTGGGAATCTGGTTAGATTTGATATCAGCCTCGTCGTTCCCAACTCGCTTCCAACGCCTGGTTACCAAGGTAACTGCATTGATCCCCAGTCTGCCTACCCACGTTGTGAATTGAGCTTAGGCAGACGAGATCAAACAGTGGTTGGGGCCGTAATGCAAACTGAGTTCAACGGGGGTGATACCACACAAATATGCATAAAAGAAAATAAAATGAAAACTCAAAAGTTCAAAGTATCAAAGAAAAAGGTAACAAACTTTATGTCTAGTTGTTCGATGCATAGGACTGCATCTATCTCCTGACCCGTTTTATGGATTGTGACACGTCGTTTTCCGTTAGGCAAGTTTTAACGCTTCAAGTTGTTTGCTCTCTAAGAAATTGGTGTTTGTTGTGTCTTTGGACGAAAAGTCGAAAAAAACTTATTGTGGTGGTCTGGATCTAAATCGCTCTTCAAAATAATTGTTCTTGGGTTGAAGAGGAGTCCGAATTTGCGTGGATCTTGGTCAGCTATCTGCGAGGCGGCTTCAACTGGAGACTGACTCTTCGCTGCAACTCCAACTCAAACTGAAATTGGAACTGGAACTGATTTCTGCTCGTTGTGGCTTCGCTTATATGGATGCCGACCAAAACTGGGGTGGGTCTGTCGGCGTCAGGGTTTCCTCGATAATTCTAAATACATATCCACCTCTCTGGTTAGGAATTTCCACTTTTTTCCATTTTTGGGAACCTTTCCTCACTTCCACCTTCTCACCATACATCAGAGGGCGTGAACTGCCCTCCCCACTTCTTCGTAGCAGCTTCTCATACCTACACTCTGGATGGGCAGCGACAGCCTCCTTCGTGCGTCACGTGATCACCACTTGACCAATGATGTCTTAGTCGGGCGTGGACAAATCCGCGGCTTTGTTTCAGGAAGAAAAAAAAAATATCTTGCTTAACTAAAAAAAATTATCTCTTCTCTTTTCCTTTTCTTCCTCTTAATCGCCGTTATCATTTCTCTAGCCGCAAACGGGACAATATGAACAATGGCGGTCATAACTCTTGTTCTACGATGGTTTTCGCCAGGTATTTTATCGCTAATTATCCGAATGGGTGGTCTTCTTAACACGGCCAACGCCGCCCGAAAAGACATTTCTAAATTCCCATTCATTTCCTTCAGTACATATTTCTGATAACATAATTTTATTATCGCAGGCCAAGGATGTTCCGTCAAGGAAATCAGTCAGCGGACACTTTCGTGGGTGGCTTTTAATTTTTTCATATCTGTCCAAAGTCCTTTTTAGTTGCCTGTTTTCATCACTTATCGAAATAACATTTTCATTTGAATTTTTTTCTTTGGCCAGTCGGTCTGTAGTTGATAATAAGATGCCTTCCCGCACCAATAGTTTGTTTTCATATCCTTAGATAACACAGCCGTCGCCAAAACATCTCTGATTCTTTCTTTCTTTCCCTTTCTTTTTACTCAGAATTTCCCTGTCATTGTAATGACACCCTTTCGCCATTTGTTACTTATCAAAATATCCCTTATCCATTGTCTCTTAGCCGTGTGTGTGTTCTGCTTATCATCCACGATTCAGTCCTTAGCCTCTCCTTTTCTTCTTTTCTTTCTTTTCTTTTTCTGCCTCGTTAAATGGTGCCACATTAGCGTATTTTTTTTTTTTTAATTTTTGATTTTTAGGCTATCATTAATTGTG